TAAGTAAAGCTTACAAGCTTCTTGAAGTAAACCTTTTTTGTTTTTCCTTATTTAAATTATTTTCCTTCTGATTAGATTGAATGTTTTTGATTCTCTGATAGCATTACTTCATGGGAAGATGCCACTTTTCGACTCTTACTTTTTATGATACTGCTACTTGTGCTACAATCCTATGTTGATTTGGGAGAATGATCGCTAAAATATTTTGGCTATAATGAAACATTAGGATTAAATAATTTGATTTTACTCTTTGAAATATTGCATGTGTACTCAAGAATATGCTAAAGTGGCTTAAAAAGTAGTCACTGTACCTGTTGTCCAGTATGTGCACAAAACAAGGGAGGGCCAAGGCCTAGCCCTGACTGATTTAGTTGGTAAAGATACAGTGAGTCACTTTTAGATTCAGATAGTTTATTACTTAATTTGGGTAGAGAAAGGAAGTTAGCCAAAGGTACCAGCTTCCTGTGGTCCACTTGTCTCACATGCTGAAAAGAATGACACCAAAACAATAGGGAATGGATGATTCCAGTGGGATTTGTGGGCTGCTTCATTGCTGGGAAGCCAATTATAGACTGTGGCTAAGTAGTTTTATATTCTGCATCTGTGTTTTAAGGGGAGTAAGGTAGAAAGCCTTATACTTCTTTAGGACCTGAGAGGTGATGAGAAACTGTCTTATAGCAGCCTAAACAGAGGAAATAGCCATGTAGGAGATGGTCTTGTAGCAGTTTCTTACAAGCTTTCCATCCTCTTGTGATCTGAGAAAATTGAAAGATGTTTTTGCCAAGACTCACCTTAGCTAAGGTTCAAACCTTTTCCAGTGTGTTCTATGTAGATATGTGCAAAGTTGCCAAGGGAATATGGTGAAGTTGTATTCCTATACCTATAAGCATAACACAGGCCCATTAAAAATAATGAATTGAAATAATGGAAATGAAATTTGATTTTTCTGTAGAAACATTATTGTGTTAATAGGATTACGTCTCTGACTAGTTTCTGAGGCCAAACCTATAAAAAAGTACAGTGTTTAGTCAAAATGGTATATTTATATCTTGAATAGGAAAAAGTATTCTGAAGTGTGCTAAAGGTAACTAGTCATATATACATTCATCTACTTTTAATTTAAAGTAAATGGCCATGTAGGCTCAGCTAGATTGCGCTGAGACTTTCTGGAAAAAACTACAGATACCACTGGAACAAACTCCCTCAAACTGGGAGCAGAGGTTAAGTGCATTCTCAGTGTGAGTCAAGTTTTTAAGTACCAGTACACATTAGGAAAGCAGCCCGAGAAGCCATGTGGTTTGTATGTTCCTGGCTTTAAATACCCAAAAACCGTATATATAGAAGTGGCCGAATACAGAAATTTTGACTCCTTTGTATATCTCAGTATATTAATTTATCAGACATTCTCAATGATGGTCCATAAATCATTGTTTTTTTAAATTGAGGTTGCAGCTTATTAGTGGGAGGAAAAAGAGTAAAAATAGAGTATATCAGACTGCAGTGCAAGCATTTGACTAAGTAGTGTTTCGAGAAACCAATATTTTAGGGGTTTGTGCACGAGTGTATGTGTGTTTAGAGTGGCAGCCAGTGTACGCTATGCTTATTATAGTGAGTTGTGGCTAAAAAGTTTGAAACATTGCCATAATAGTCTTTGACTATTTCACATCTCACTGAAAATATTGCGTAATTGTAAAACCAAAATGTATTGCTTTATAGTTCTACTTTATTATCTAAATCTATAATATATGGTGAACATACTAGTTGCTGTTTCTTTGCAGTTAGCTTCTGGAATTTATACTTTTGCCTGCTCTTTGTGGAATCACCATACAGACACATTCCTGCAACAAGTTTCTTCTGGCAATGAAGCTACAGTTCTAAGTGCACTAGAACGAACTCTGCTGTCCTTGAAAGGTACTGTTAAACTCCATATGTTCATTTTTGAAATGATGTATCTCAGAACAGTTACCAAATGGTTCCTTTGGATGGATTTTTCTGTTCCCAATTGCACTGGGAAAATAAGGGGTTAATTTCTCCCGAGAGATAAGGGCTTATTT